TCATTGGATATCGCACTGGTAAACTTTTGTATTTAGGAGTACGGAACAAATACTGCAGTTTTTGTGAATTTCACGTAAATAAAAATAATACAGTACCTACACACAACTGTGTTAAAAATTGGACTGGAACATCCAATGCAATGGAAGCAGATATTATCATAGAAGGGTTTAAACAAAGTTTAGAAACGCATGGACTAAAATATACAACCTTGGTTGGCGATGGTGATAGTTCAGTTTACAGCAAATTATTACGGACAAAACCGTATGGCCCTCAAACAATAATTCAAAAGGTTGAATGTCGTAATCATCTGTTGAGAAATTTTTCGTCAAATCTTCGGGATATACCTAGTAAGCTAATGTTAAATTTAAATTTAATTAAAATTAATTTTATATATTTTATTCCATAAGCTGTAGAGAAGGTTTTTGTATGTTCTCTATACCAATAACGGTGATTCCATTTTCTTTTAGAAAGAAAAAGGAGTTCGTCAACTAATATGGAAGTACCAGTGGCTTTGCGAAAAGTGAAGTTAAGCTAACTTAGATTTTGCGTAAGCGCTTAAATTTAGGCTATCAGAAAAGCATGATTATCAAACTACTATTTCCAAATTACATCAAGATATATTAAATATCCCGTCACATGTCTTTGGCGAGTATGAAAGATGTCTTGAAATCCAGTATTTCGGCTGTGTCAAAAAGCCACATAATATTAATTTTGTGCCGGCAATGAAAGAATGTGGTTTGTACAGAGATATAGAAATTTGTATGAACAGATTAATTCTTAATTTGGATAGTTTAGTCAGCAACATGGATAATAATTTGGCTGAACACTACAATTCTATAGTATCTAAATTTATTGGGGGTGAAAGGGTAAATTTTTCACAGAGGGGATCATATCAGACGAGGTGTGAAGCTGCTGCAATTTTGTATAATGTTGGGCCCGACTATTACTCTATAATTACGGAAACTCCCTTGAGCGAACTGTAGCGTTTACGCTACTGACTAGTCTAATTTAAACCCCTCAAGAAATTTTTATTACCCGCCTACGATCGATTTTTAAATGGACATTTTTCCCCACACGCGTAGTAGTCGCTTAAAAAGTAAGATTGGTCGAGTTTGTACGAAAACGATCAGTTTTGGTCAGAACTCGATCGCAGCCACGTCAAACCGGTGAAATTTTTCACCTTTAAAGTGACGGAATTGGAGCAGAAAAATAATATGGGAAGAATAAATTAATTTATAAATAAAATACATATCTTAATAATAATAAGTAAAATAATAAAATCAATATTCATTTATGAGTTCCACATAAAAAGGAAGAGTTTTTTTGTTGGCGTGCTGCGAGCTCCATGTAAGTAAATCATTTTATACGTATTATCTCTTTATCATATAATCAAATTTATCATTGTATTTAGTATTTCTTTAGAGATTTATTTTTGAGTTCCGAAATAATTTAAATATAAAATTTCCTTGATTTACTTGCAAAGAACAGAAGGTCATTTTTTTTATATAGTTAAACTTAAATTCTGTTTTATTCCACGTCGTTATCATTAAGTTTTTTTGGTTCTTTTTACCTAACTTTTTTGGTGGAATATAAAAGGTTCTACAAATGTGGTACAGCCTTCTGTATTCTGCGCATGTTCTTTTCATGGCGCAAGCTTGCCATGCCTACGAAAGTAACTTCATAAATTTGACATGATGTTTACTTAACCTAATACCTAATGTTTTGATGTTTTGTTTTGGTGCAGTCAATCCATGCTGCTACACCTATTGAATTACATATTTATTAAATTAAATAATCATTTTAGATTCCGTCACGTGAAAATATTAATTTCACTTTACTTGAGGATATTCTCTTGAGAATATTCCCTCAAGGATACTAGTAACAGAATCCTTAGATACATAGTTAGCAAACCCGTGGATTTTGCTGTCACCCAGAGACCAGTGACTGGTTGTGGCTTTTGTGACCAGGATTCGTCTTTACAGCCACAAACTGATGTAGCCGTGCCAAGAGGAGTTTTTCCTATGGACTTATAGTGCTGTAAAGATAAGTCGTTTAACTATTTGACCTTTTGTATTACGTATTACTTTATATTTACTGTTAACTGATCATATGCATATGATAAGGTGAATACCTTTATGATAATTTTTTTTTGATAATTTAATTATAAAATATTCGGGAGGAAAAAGGGACACTTCATGTGTTATTAGGTTTTAACTAGGATTTAGAGAGTCTGACCAAACTCATTTTTTTTTGGATATAATATTTTTGTTAATATAATACAATTTGATATTAAGAGGGACATAAATTTAATGTGGTTTGTTTTTAAATATTATATAATGAGTATGGAACAACTCATTTTTTGGATGTAATATATATATTTAATATAATTGTAATAGAGATTTATCAAGTTTGATATCTTTACAATATTGTCATTAGTACCTCATTTTAGTAGAACTAATTTAAATTTAAATGACTACCTTTTTGTTTTAAGACTTTGGCTACCCTACGGACTATTCTTGTTGTATACTAATATTTCATATTTTATTTGGCCAGTGGTAGTGACTATTCATTTGTTGAGGGGCTATTAGGTCCTATTGTATCTGTACACCATCCACTACCACTGTTATTTGGCTTTGCATTATATGTAAATTGTTTATACACATATACCTATATACATTTGTTTATAAATATATTTATTGTTGCTATTTTGAGTTTTATTTCAGTTCTACTAACCAGTATATAACATAGCAAAACAAGATTAATATTTAGTATTTTTGTATTTCAGAGTATTACCTCCAGATTCATTTGTTACTTCAAAATCTCAACTATCGTTGAGTTGGCGCCCTTCTTTTCTCTTCTTATTGTTCTCTTTCTATAAATTTATTCCCAGTGACCTTCTTTAGTTGTATCACGTTTGATATTACCAGGTCTCATTTCGTTTCTTGTCTCATTAGCTCAGTATCCTTGCTATCTGTTTAAATCTTTAAAGCCACAATCCAGTGCATTGAAGCTAGCCCGAACACTCACTTGAGATTTAGTGTCTCTTTGGCCATTTAAATTTGTTCCTCTGAGCTTAGCCCTATTTTTAGTATTTTTTTTTTCCATCACTTCTCTTTCAGTTCTTCTGAACTTTGTCAATTCACACACATTTATTCGTTTCAATTGGCGCCCAACGTGGGGCTTCTTTTCCACTTCTGCCTTAAAAAATATATATATATATATATATATATATATCTCCTTTAACTTTTGGTTTTGATCTTGGGTTGTTGTGGTTTTCACTGGTTGTGCTTTTAGATTTTCATTTTAACTTTTAGTTTTGTTTTTCAATTTTTTTTTGGACATTACCTTATATCTATATCTATATCTTAAATTGACTTGTTTTTGCTATATACTGTGTAGACTGAATAAATTGCTTTGTTTTTGATTGATTAAATAACAATTTAAATTAATAATAAATTAATTAAAAATTTAAATAACTAAAGTTAACTATTTCACATATTTTTACAAGTCCGGAGTAGCCAATAAGTTGAGTCACTACCTCGAAATAACAGTTTTTGAAATTTTAGGTTCCTTAGGGTGTTGTAGCAGTATATTTCATTGGATTTCATAACTGGACCAAAACAATTAAACATTACTGGTATTGGTATCCCTTCAGAATAATAATTTGGAGTCAGAGAGTAAGTTAAACTTTACCTACTTTTACTCATTCTCTTGTATATTTCTCAGTTGTGTAAAAATGTCTGCTTTCAAGGTAGAGCATCTGTTAGCTCCTGAATTAGAGTATGAGTTGAGAGTCCGTCATCTAACCAGTCCATTGTTAAAAAAAGTTGTATAATGTACAGAATGTACCAGGTAAATTTCCTGATTTTAAAGTTGAACATGGTGTTTTGCATAAACATGTCTTAAGTTCCATAGATTCCCTTACTGGAATGTCAGATTGGATTTAAAGATAGTCGTTCCAACTCCTAATAGAGCAGAGGTTTTGGCCACTTTTCATGACCATTCTACTGCAGCTCATTTTGGTTTCTACAAAACTTTCCGTCGAATATCTGAACTTTATTACTGGCCGAAGATGCGTCAAACTGTACGTAGCTATATCGCTAAATGCAAAATCTGTGCTACATGCAAACCGACAAATCTTCCCCAACCAGGTTTAATGGGTAGTTATCGACGGATTGATTTTCCGTTTCAACTTATATCTTTAGATCTCATTGGTCCCTTATCACTTCTGTTCCAGTTTGGTTGTTTAAGATCTGATTATCTATTTTGTTTACCTGGCAAAAACCCATAAGCTGTTGTGCTATTTTGCCTTCTATTTTTTTTTTATCTTATCTTAATGTTGGTTATTATCTTAGTTTATGGACTTGTTAATTTTGTTGTTTGTTTTCTCTCA